GGGGTGCCGAGGACCAGGCCGGAGCCCCGGGGAGGGGGGTGCCGAGGGCTGGAGCCCCAAGCTGGGTTTGTTTACCACGTCAAGACCCTGAGAGGAGAGACAGTGGCTGCTCATTGCTCTCCTTCTGCTCCTTCAGCGAATGTGCCCAGTACCTGCCGGGGGAGATGAAGTCTCCACTCTTCTCTATCCAGCGGGAGGGCATCGAAGAAGACGGTGTCCTGTACCGCATCAACAGGTATGGCCCAGCCCCAGGGTCACTGTCCAGAGCTGGGCCTGGCAGCTGGAGGGCTGTGCCTACTCCAGAATGGCTTGCTGGGCCTTGGCAACAACCCAGAGCGGCTTCTGCCCTGAGATCCCGCGCAGCCGCCGCCTGGTGCTGATGGGAATCGAGGCCCCCGGCATCAGGGCCAGCTGAGCCTGCAGTGTGCCCTGTCCCTCCTTGCAGGCTTCCCTTTGCATTGTACCCCGGGCATTGGTGCAGGGGTCTGGGTTCAGATCCAGGCAGGGCTCCCACCCCCGGAGCACGGCTGGATTATGGCACAGTGTTGGGGCAGCCTGCAGCTCCTCTGCCTTCCTCTGCGTGTTCCCCCGGGCAGCAGAGCCCTTAGCTGGCAGCGCCCCCTGCCCTGCCGCCTGCTTGGTACCCACGGCTCCCATTCCCCCGGGCAGGTTCAACTCCCTGCAGCCCCACGAGGAGCGCCTGGACGTGTCCTTCTTTGTGGGTGGCCCGGTATGGGCCATGGAGTGGTGCCCGTGTCCAGAGGGCTCTGCCGCCCCCCAGTATGTGGCGCTCTACTGTAACAAGGGCATGGACGAGAAGCACAGCCTGGCCGAGCTCCACACAGGCCCTGCACTGCTGCAGCTCTGGGCTCTGGGCATCCTGCAGCCGGAGGCAGGGTGAGTCGTGTGGGGGAGAGGCTCTGGCGAGCGCAGAGCCTGGGGGGTGGTGCAGGGTGGGGTGGGGGGGAGTACAGAGCCCTGGGGGGCAAGAGCAGAGCTCTGGGTCGGGGGAGAGTTGGGGTGGCGAGCCCACAGCCTGTGGGGGTGGCAACGCATAGCTCGTGGGAGTGGAGCAGGGCCCCCTCCCCCCCATGGGAAGTGGGCCTGGGGCCTCACCCCCACCCCATGCCCTGCACAGGCTGTCACTCACTCTAGGACCCTGGAGCTCAGTGGCTTGGTCCTGGGCAGAGGCCCAGGCTGAGCACTCTGGAAACCACGGCCCAGGTGCCTGGGAGCTGCTCTGCAGGGGAGGGCATGATTTACCTTCTAGGTCCCTGCTGGAGGCTTGGCCCTGGGTGGCAGAGCCAGCAGCTGCAGAGCTCTGCTGAGCTCTCCCTGCCTGCTCCATGTGCCCCAGGGCTATGCTGGAGCTGTGCCCCTGTTCGGGTGGAGGGGGGCTCCTGACACCCACTAGCCAGGCCCCCCATAACTTGCCTGTGCCCGCAGCTCTGCCACCAAAGCCAGGCTGGCCTACGCCATCGCCGCCGACCACGGCTGCATCTGGGACATGAAGTTCTGCCCCAGTGGAGCCTGGGAGCTGCCCACCACCTGCAGGAAGGTAGGGGTGCGGCGGAGTAGGGGGGAGGCTGGGTCTGTCTGCACGAAGGCTCTGGGGATGGCCCCTGCAGTGGGCCCCACAGATAGGAATCCTGCCCCCCTCCGAGCAGCCTCTGGGGTGGCTGCAGCCCAGCGCAAAGCAATGTCCACGGCTTGCATCCGCCCCAGGCACAGAATGGCGCCATTGCGCTGCAGCCGCCCAGCATGATCCGCGGGCGGTGGGGTGCCTTGGGTGAGTCTCCCCAGGAGCCGGAGTCTGGCCCTTCAGCCTGTGCATCTGTCCCTCCAGCCCCCTCAGATGAGCCGGCTGGGCCTTCTGGCGGCAGCCTTTTCTGATGGCAAAGTGCTCGTGTACAGCCTCCCGCACCCCGAGGGCCTGCTCGCTCACAAGAGAGCCCAGGTAAAAGGTAGGAAGAGCCGTGCCGCGGGGGGACGGCGGGGGGTGTGACAGTACTGAAACCCTGGCGGGGCAGTGCATGGGGCTCTGGGAAACCCCTGAGAAATGCAACGCCCAGGGCCCCACTCATGGATTCTGGGCCTGGTGTGAGCCTCAGGGCACCCCCGAAGCAGCCATGCGGCTCCCTGTGTCAGCCCACGCTCAGCTACACGGCCTGACCCAGCAGCTTCCCAGCCCTGGTGGGGTCCAGCGAGCTTCTCACACCACACTGTGCACCGCGCCCTGCCGGCAGACTATTCCCTGGTGGGGCCCGGCTGTT